CAACTCTGGAGTTCTGTGAGACCAGAAACACCAACAGAAAGCTCTATCTCCGTCATCGGCCGCACCGGGCCTTTCCTCATGCTGGCAACCCCACAAAGCCTGCCCGGAGACAGATGACAGCGCCACAAAGACAACAAAGGTGGCTGGCTGCAGACCACCTGGAGCAGAAAAGCTCGGCTACGTTGAGAACTCGGAGACACCGGTGACAGGAGGGCTTGGAAATGGTGTAGGAGGTGCCAGGAGTCTTATCAAGTGAAAGGCCCACTCTCAATACTCACACTTCCACACTTGCGCCCTTCAATTGTGCCATCCTGGCCAGCGGTGCGAGTGAGTGGGGTGTCCTATTCTCAAGCACGGAAGTTGATTACGCCCTTTATTCACCCTTAATCCACACTTCGCCCAAGTATGCATTGAATTTTTAACATGCTACTTTAAAAATCTGATGTCACATAAGCTCAGAAATCCGAATGGAAGAACAGGAAGTGTTGTCAAATGTGTGCTTTCTCAGCTTTAGCGCACAAGAGAATATCAGTAACATTGTTTATGCAGAGTTGTATTTGGAATTTAACCTGACAATGAAAAGTCAGTGTAATTAAAATAAAGCACCATTTTGCCACAAATGATGTGTCTAAAGACAAATATTCATGATGATGGATTAGCTCATCAAAGCTAACTCAGAGTCTATCACCAGCGTCGCTGAAAAGTTCACATTAAAGTTGACCCTGTTCTCCTGTTTCCTTTAATAATTCCGTTTAATAACGATATGGTTCGTCACGCCTCATCCCGCGATTACATGCTTCACTTTCAAAAGGGTTTCTCCCAACAAAGATGAATCTCTCCTCAGGACTCATGGACATACACCTTTGAACTGACGGAGACGCCTTAGTGCCATGACCTCCTTCTACTCCCCCACTGAAGGCACTGTACTTTTATCCAGACGGCTCAATCCCCATGATCAAATTCTTTACTGTGATGGTAAATTTCTGAAGCCACCTGGTCTTTATGGGAAACATGGTCTTTTGAATTGGACTTTATAGCTTTCCTGTAGCTTAGATTTACTTCCACGAGGCGCATGGCTGATTACATTTAGAGATGGAAAGAGGCTCGAGGAACTGTTTAAAAGTTAGAGAATGTTAAAGTCATACATGGTTGTTAGATTTTGCTTTATAGAGCTCCGGGAGTTGACGTCGCTTCTCCCGGCATGCAACAGTTCAAATTGAAACGGCGCCATATTGGCATGCAGAAGCCCGCAGCTGGACTATTTGTTATTGTCAGAAAACTCAATCAAACGGCAAATATGGTAGATTCCTGTTGTGCCCCAGGATGCAGAATAGACACGGACGACATAAGGAATGAGCCATCTACAGGATTCCCCAAGATCCGGAGCGCCGCAAACGTTGGATCATTGTAATAAAACGCGCTAGTGACCGGGCAAAAATGAAGCTGTGGGATCCCGAGAGTAAAGTTTTTCACTTATGCAGCGACCGCTTCATATCAGGTACTTAAACCAATGTTTCCTCAACTGTGTATGGTATTTATTTTAAATGCTTTTATTACGATTCTTAGTGGGCTTCCTAGACTTATTTTGGCGTGGCTTTTTCTGTCTTATTACTCATAGCAACAAGTAAACATCACGTAAAACGTTGCCTCGTGAGTTCTGCGTGCTGCCGTTTACGTGTTTTATGATCACAGCAATTCACCGGCTAAGCTGTATTTCATTTTTAAGCAATGGTTGATCAATTGTCAGATCACACATAAAAAGCACTTTGGATTGCTATTATCTGTCTCACCGAGACAGATCTCAGACAGATCCTGAGACGCTCCTGCCTGACATATTTATTTTATTCACGGAAAACAATCAGACTAGTGATTTCTCTTGGCGTTCAGTTTATACATTCAAACAGCACAGCACTCTATTTAAACTACTTACATGTAAATCCGGAGTCGGGTTACGGGGGCAGTAGCGTCGAGAGGCCCAGATTTCCCTCTCCCCAGCCAGGGTTAGGGAAGGTATGAGGCCTTATTCTTGTGTTCCAATAAAAAAAAACTAAGGGATTAAAAGAAGTATTAACAAATGAGAAATATTCCTGAACAATGTAGAAAAGAAAACTTCAAGACCTCAGCAGTACAGTTCATAACATCAGCATTACACTAAAGGAACACGAAGCAGTTTTGCTTGCTTTTAACACCCCCTAGTGTCCTTTATTAATTATATGTGGTCAAAGCAAAAGTGAAACTTATCTCCTCCCTGTGCGTTTGCCTTTTAACACCTTAATCTAACTGCTAAAATGTCTCCACAGCCTTCATTAGTGTCTGCAGGAGCAATTCATCACTAACTAACCCCCAAATTCCACTACCTCCGCTCCGCTGCGCTCCGCTCCGACACGAACGCCGGAGCAAAATCGGTCCCGTTCTAGTCAATCAGAGCAATTCCACTACTGCGGCCGTGCTCCGGCAGTGCGGCGCCGTGCGGCGCCCTCTGTTCCGGCGTCCGGCAAAAATAGAATCGATCCTATTTTTGCCGGACGCCGGAGCACCTCCGCAGTAAATGGACAGAAATCACAACGGCCCAACAGGAAAAGGAGCAAGCACATCTTCCGTTTTTCACAATAAATCGCTAAACAAAAGGCGTTTTTTGTTTCATATGCACAGGTTTAACAACTTTTAACAACTATCAATGGCGGCTGAAGTTTAAATGCACAAAAATAAGCCATAAATACAGTTGCCACTATCAAAGTAGTCACACTTTGTTGATCCAAACACTGCTGATCTCTCAACACAATGATGGGCAGATTAAACAGCTCATTTCCGATGCTTCTCCCGCACAACGGGTGTTTGGATCTAACTTCCGCGTTTATTGCTCGGACTGTATCGCAAGATCTCGAAAATCCCGCGCATGCTTGTTTGCCCCCCTCAGGTCTCCGCACCGGAGCGGAGCCGTTGTAGAGCGGGTACCAGTAAAAATTGAGTTCGGAAGCGAGCGGCTGCGGAAGGCGGGGGCGGACCGGAGCGGAGCGGAGCGGAGGTAGTGGAATTTGGGGGTAAGGGGGTTTCTCATTGCCAAGGAACCTCGCCTTGATGTCTTGGCCCCGCCTTGGTTGCTTAGGAGATACGTCATCGGGAGCCGCCAAGACGTGTTCCAATGTTCACGTTCTACCGAGGCGTGTTCTCCGTTTGTTAGCCGTTTAGCTAGCTGAGCGAGGATACACTGGAGGTGTCTTGTAGCCTTAGTCAAAAATTACCCAGAATACACGGCAGTATTTTCAAAAGGACGGCGGATCAGAAGCCGGCAGCTACTTCGGGGACAAATTTTCAAGTTTAAAAGTAAGTCAACTAATTTAAAACGTTTTTTTTTTTTTTTTAGATCCAAAGAAGTTATCTATTGTTGGGTTGCTTAGTAGTTGCACCTTCGGTGGCTAGCAGGTAGTAACTCACTTATATTTTTTATTTAATAAACATATACACAATTTAAAAAGTAAAAGGCGTGTTATATATTTATATTGAAACTAATACATATAAAATATAATGTTATCTCCCGTGTCACGTGACGTTACGTGACCGCCGTGGAATCCTTGGTCACGTAATGCAAGTCTGTTCCATTTAACCGTTTTCTTTGACCAAGGAAGGACAGAGTCCTTGTAAGCAAGACGCCTAGCCTCGCAAGGCATTGCCTCGCAAGGCCAGGCGCCTTGACATTGAGAAACACTCAAATCAGTTGTGTTCATGCAGGAAACGTGCTGAAAGCAGACTGCAGGTAAGTCCACAGTTGGTCCAGCATCCTGAAGTTACAAATGCGGTATTTTGAGAACAAAAGGTAGGGGTCTGTCTGAGTGACATTTCTTTAACCCTGTAAAAGGTAATTTTAGCACATAGTGGTTCAAGAAAATGATTAAAAAATATGAAAAAGTTGCCTAGTATCCCTTTAAAGGAACAGAATTTACCACATTTGTGAAATCCTCCAGGTGTGAGAAAATTCAGGAGAAGTAACGTTTACTGACTTACAATGGAAAAAGGTAACAAATGAAACTTCAGGCTCTATTTTTTGTTGATCAGTCTTGATTGGTGCATAGGAACAACAACATTTGTCTAATAACGCTCAAATGCTTTCAATTTATCAATTTTTTAGAAGGCAAACACATTTTCTAAACTTTGTGTCCCTACCAGTTATGGATACTGAGCTAGAATTATACATAACTTGATTATTTCCATTGAGTTCTATGGTTATTTGCAGTCATCATCTAGCAACAAAAGCAGCTAGTCGTGGCACTTCCAGTACAGTCTGAGGCCCTTCCTGCCAAATCCTTGTAACGTTTCTGCAGGAATGACCACCTAATGAAAGTGTGACATAATTATCCAAGTGATCAAATAGCATTTGCATGAAATTTCTACGGTCTTTTGCACTAATGACTACATTGTGAGTCTTTTTCTGTGGAAAACGTTTCAGGAAGTAGAAGTTAGCCAGAGGAGAAAACAGCAGGATTTGGAATCGTACTCATTAACATTCAAGAAATGTGAACGTCTCACCTCTGATTGGCTAACAGCAATGCAACTCTTCCAACGTCCCCATTCATTTTGGGATGTTGATGTTTTATCTTCACAAAGAATTCAAGTCTGGAGGAGTTCAGCCATTGTTGTGGTGTTGGTAATGCTAACAGTTAGCTTATTCTAGCTAGCTCTCGGCCGCTAATTTAACAGCAGCCTTCCATGGACGCGAGTCCACGAAACAAATTTACAGCGTGACGTGTGACTGTGTGGCTTTTTCTGACCCAGTCGTTTCCTCATTTATTTTCTTTTGGCGGCTAATGCAGGAAATAGGGGTAGATGACTATTTTGGTTGTTCGTTTCTGAGTGAACCTTCATTTTGGTTCCTTTGAATAAAACTAAATGAAGCACATGATAAATTCTCAACCTGTGATCTGAATTCTTATTCTTTGTTATAAACATCTTCCACCTCATTGGTCTTTTATTTCCATGTTTATTTTTGTCTCTTTCCACCACAGAGACTCCAAATCTTAACCCCGTTCATCCAAACTGAAGGTCCCAGCTTCACCTCATCAGTAGAGCCCTTCACCTCCAACATGAGGCCTGCTCGTCTGTCTGCAGGTCTCCTCAACAGCTGTCATGAAAACCAAACAGACAGTCTTAATTGGTGTTCCAGACTCAAGGAAACTGGACTAAAATATTTGCATAATTTCACAGAGGATGAAGGAAATTGTTAAAACATGTGAGCGGAGGCCCTTGTGTGGTGCTGTAACCCTAACTCTGGACCAGGTTGCTCTTGGGTGCCACCCTGTGCCGATGGTGCCAGGAGGGAACGGAGGGAGCTGAGGGGGGGTTAAAAGGTCATTGGAACTGATCTTATCAGTTTCTCCTTTTCACATGGCTCAGGGCCAAAGACGACCTGACACAGTCGAAGCTCGGTCCTACCAATGGAAAACTGAGATTCTTTTACTGAAATACAGAAATAAAATCAACAGTTTTATGATTTATCTGTTGGTGTTTAATTAATTTTGTATTTCAGAGACTTTTGAACACAAACAAATTTGTCCTTCGCTTCTCCATCCAGTCATCACCTCAAACTCACATTTCCTGTTATTTCCTGACATGAATAAAAAGTTTGCTGCGTATCTTTGTGCTCCTTCCGTCACGGGTGTAGTAACATTCCAGTGTCGGACTTTTTCTGTGAGACGTTCTGCTACTAGCAATGTTCAGCTCTCGTTTTCTTTCTTTGAGGTGGAACACCGATGCTGTTGACAAAAAATAAAGGAAGAGGCATCCTGAAAGGCTTGTGGTCTCCGTTGCATTTGATAAATATTTAGAAAAGTGGGCTCTACTCTATCCGTCCTCACGAGCCTGTCGAAGAGCCCTTGCAATGATGAAAAATTGCGCTGCCTTTCTGCATACCAGTGCAGACAGAAAAGTATATAATACTTAGTTACAATACATTCTTCCTCCTCTAGAGGGTGCCCTCTGACAAAAAAAAAAAAACTCCAAATTTTTGAATTAAGTTATCCAGAGTTCTGGATGAGATACAGACTGAAATAGTTTTTTGTTTGTTATGTTGTTATTTTATCTTTTTGTAAGGCAGAAAGGTTTAAATTAATACTATGTGACGAAATTCTTGTTTTTTAATAATAGCGTCAGATTATCCATAATTTCCACAAAATGCTGATTTTAAGTGGTCCTCGAGTGGGTCTGGGCAATGTGGCCTTGAGTCAATATCACAATACAGCGAGGAGTTCACCTCGATAGCGATACATAGACAATAACTACATGAATGCGCTGAAACAAAAGGTGTCCACTGGATGGGGTCATCACGTGCGTTACGGTGATTCACGTTGTCAGGTGACTCTAAGTGGAACAGCTTCTTAGAAGCCCGTTTTAGAAGACCCGCAACAGAGGCAAGTGTCATGATCACGAGGGGAGTTACTGCTGAGCTCTGGCCCGCTGTAATATCGAAAACAAAAGTAAACACAGGAAGTACGTTTCACTTTTGTAAACAGCTGAGATGATAAAATGGAGCGATGCAGAGCTCCAGTGGCTCCGTTAGAGCTGAAGCTCAGATCACCAGAGGCTGCATGGGGACTCTGAGGGCCAGTCACCTCTGAAGCTCGGTTTATGCTTGACGCATTCACTTTCTGCTTGGTGATGCGGCTCGTGGATGGAACGCGCTTCACAACTCGCAGCGTTTATGGTTCGTGCGGCTTGTCTCTGCGGTGAGCCAATATTCTCCCAAACTGAACAGGGCAGCATGGAGCTCTACAGCATGCATCCAACGCTACACCATAGTAGAAGTAGAAATTACTGTTTACAGCATGGCATTCCAGCAGTTTTAACAGCGTCCTCGTCTTTTCCGACAGTGCGAGCTATTTCTCTCCAAGAATTATTAACAACATGTTGATCACGGTGATCTCTGAGAACTGAATCATACAAATGTCTGTATTTACGAACCTCTGCCATACTAGTTCTTGCCAGTCCGCCATGTTTTTCCACGTCCGACTGTCCGCATGGTTAGAAAATTTCCTAGGTGCGCGGAGCGGAAATTTTGGGCCGTGCGGCGGCGCGGTGGAGGGGTGTGGTTGTTAAAATGATGCAATTTCGCCGGGTGGAGCCGTGCGAACCTCGCGGACGCGTCAAGCATAAACCAACCTTTAGGAGCGGTTCGTCCAAAAAAAACGTAATGATCGCAGTTTTGATTGCAATTAAAAAAGTTATGTCCAAGTTAAACGGAAGTTCGTGGCAGCGCAGAGACCACCCCATACCCATTTTATACCACCTTTGTGTAATCTTTTGATGTCACCACATCACCGCCACGGTCTGATCATTTAAAAACGACCTAAAGCTCCTTGATGCCGGCTCGGCGTTGTTTTCTAAAAGAGGCTCAAGAGGCATGAACGTCGCCAACCTACATACCTTTTCATTTTTTTAATTATTACATTTATTAACATGGGAAAAATGATATCCTCAAGTATAAAATAATAACAAAATAGCAAAAATCATTTTCATTCTTGATCACCTGAATCTTCTGACATTAATATGTGATATATAATAATTCCAGCGTATTAGTCCTAAGCAGCTTTCCTAGACCCTTTCCTCCTCCGCCCGGGTTCCCACACAGTCACAGAGCGGTGGGCGTTTGACTGCTCCAGCTGAGACAGCGCAGGGTAATTAAACTCGTCTGGGACATGTGGAAAAGACATAGAGCTTTAAATGCCCTCGCTGGAGATAACATGAGCGCCGAGCAGAGAGATCACATGTGAGTCCCTCGTTTACTGGAGATGCCAGCTGCTCTGAGACAGCGGCGAGCTTCGTCACCTTGTAAATGAAGGAGGAGACAATTATGTGGAAGATTGGAGTGGAGGGGGATGTGGAGGATCCAAGATGTAGGGTGCTTAATAAAAATGTGGAGGAAGCCGGTGTGAGACGCATAAAGTAGCTCAAACAAGCATCAGGTATCTCTGGGGTTTCAAAGGAAATTTCATGCTGCAAATCTGTATTTTTATGAGTCCTCAGCTAAGAGCTGGTGAAATCCAAACCCATGATTGTTGACATAATATAATATTTAGTTTTCTTTCCTTTTTTAAGCAATAAATATGCAAATGAGCCATCAGCCTTTATACGTCTCAGGGTAGAGGAAATGTCTGACTAGGCATTCACCAGAGATACAAGTAATTATTATTATTAAAAACAATTCTGCATTAGAGGGGTGTGATTAGATCTAATCAAGTGGAGACAAAGTGAGTAACCAGATCATCAAGCATCCAGTCCTGTGAATTCAAAGTAATTATTAGATGATTAGGGCGATTAGACACCCACCAGAGTCTGAGGCACGTCTTTATTATCACAAAGATTAATCACACTGGAGTGGCAGGCAGATGCAAGACTGGCTGCGCGAAAACGAGGCAGAATGAGGTCAAAAATGAGGCAATTTTTTACAGTCGGGAGCTAAATTAGCAGGGAAGGTTCTAGACTAACATGGGGCGGGGGGGGGGGGGGGGTGGACTCTGTTAAAGAGCAAGTCACCCCTTACAAATATAGGGTTTATAAATAAAGCTTTGATTGATTGATTGATTGATTGATTCATTGATACAAGAAGCGTACTTCACTCCCACTTCATGTTCGAAAAATGCAACAACTGCTGTTGCCTAGCAGACCGAGAGGGTGGAGCCACTAACAAATACACACACTCACGACATTGTGACATCATAATGTACCAGTTTACATCATAGCATACCTCTTAGCCAATAGCGGTGGCAGATTTAAATTCAAATGCAGTCAAGAGTTTTTACCTGACAACGGCACAACACTGACAGTTTCAGGCAGAAAATTTAAATTTTAACTAACATGCACTGAAGTGCAAAACTATTGACTACACGTGTCTGCAGCACAATTAGACACGCATTTATATAGTTTATCAGAAAAAAATTGTTGATTTGGGGGTGACTTGCTCTTTAAAGAGGAACGTTTGTAAGAAAACACCATAACCTTCTTTACATGTCTCAAATTTATGTGAGTAACTACAGCATAAAAACAGATATTTAGTTGTGTTTACTTTAGATACAACAGCCTTTCGATTAGTTTGAAAATGTGACTATTTGGCCCATAAATGCCTTATCTGCATTGATTATCTCAACAAAAACATGAAATTATTTGTCTAAGCATCTCTTTTTGTTGTTAGATAAATGCGTTCACATGCTTTGTCTACACAACTAGCATTAATCCTCCTTTCTACCGGGTGTGATAGTAGAGTGTAACGTAATAGAGGTGTTTCACCCGCAAGCTTCCTCCCAACTTCCTTCCAACAGCATAAAAAATAGACTCCAAACATAATGATAGTGTTCCATCGCTTCTGGGATGCGTCCAAAATGTTACACTTTGCTCCCATTGGGAAGGAACCCATCCACTATAACGCCAGCTAATTGCCTCAAAGTACGTTTTGTGGCCGTTTTGCAACGCTTTCACATCTGGTGGAAAGTAGACTTTAGGCTTAATTTTAAAAATCTGTATTGCTTCAACTCTGCCTTCAGCAAGGGGGAGATCCAAGCTTACTATCAGGAGGGCACTAGCCCCAACTGGAACCCCTTAGAACCACCCCTGTAAATTAGATCATATATTTATGCATGAGAACACTAAATCAAACAGTGTAAAAGTATTTTCTGTGTAAAAGTTGTAAACATTGCCTCATTGAACAACCTAAGTTTAGAGAAATGGAGATGATATCCGCCCAAGACCAAAGGGGATTGATACCACGTTAAAGCAGCTCCAATCTCAAAATGTCATTATGGTTCATGCAAACCTTTTTTTTTTACCTTTAGTCTGAAGTAATTTTTAAATTGCACAGATATTAATCCTTTCACAACCTCAATTTGTTTGAATATTTTCCTCAGGACTTTTATTCATTTTCAGTCATGCAAAGTTAATTTGTGAGCTAATAAAACCATTCTATTATGCTTTCAGTTATTTTAGGCTTGGCAAAAAAATACATTTTGACTTATGCATATGACAAACTTAAATAGTAATAAATATACTGCATTTATTATATCCCTTGTGCCTGTTAGTGAAGTGTCACAGGACCAGAAAGTGGGAGAAAAAGAATAGATGAAAAAATGTCGGGATGCAGCCTGTGGGAGTATCTGTGGTGCATCGAGACAGAGGAGGAATCAGCAGTGACAGAAATAACACAATTGCAAGTCTTTTCAAGTGTTTCCCAGTGATGACAGAACAAACCAACTCCTCTATCGGCCTTGGAAAGCCTCAGTGGATTTAGACTCTGGGTGAGTTGGGGGGGGGTTGTATTTAGCTGTCCTTGAAGCTGCCTGCTTGCCTCTTTCCACACTGCCAAAGAGCATGATCCGCCACCTCTCCCACGGGTCAGGTCCCTCTCAACCCCCGGAGAGCTTTGATCTGACTTGCAGAAGAAAGGTGGCCTGAGAGGTCTTTGGGAACTCAACGCTTTGTGTGTGATGGACTTGCAGACTGAAAGCTGGGTGGAGGGGCGGGGGTGTTGGATTCAGGTGGGGTCAAAGGCCGCTGTCCATCTCCACTGTCCTTCTGTTTGTTGGCTACAAAGCCTCTGACAGTTTTATGAATTAGACAAACACACATGTAATACACATAAAAAAGAAGTTTTTGAACTACTTTGACAATTAAAATGATTTAGGTGTGTTTTTCCAAAACACGACTTTGACTGCATTGAAATTATTTTAATATCCTTTTTGTAGTTTGATTTATTTCAGTGCTTCAAGTCATACTGAAGCAGTTATTAATGTACACCAAAATATCACAAAATCACAGGAAAATTGCAAGATCACGTGTGATTTCAGCAGTTCACGCAAAAACAATTAAGCAGAAAGACAGCAGCATGTATCCAAAAGGTCTGTGGTTTATTTTCTGTTGTATTTACCTGGCATACCATGGCATATCTTTTTTTTACTAGTTAGGCTACTGGAAATCCGTACATTTCTTTTATTTTGAAAGTTGCCAGATATTTAACACAGTGGCAGTGTTTGACTTCCTGTCTGACCTGATCTGAAGTGCTGAGCTTGATATGATTTGATCCTGTTTGATGCTTATTTTGTGTGCATGATTAGTTGCCCTTTAAAGTAACACTAAATAGCTTTTTAAATTTTAAGCTGGAGCTTTAACATTGATCTCAGTTATTATTGAGCTAGAAACTTGACCAGTTTGATATTTCACACCACTCTGTAACCCTCTATCGACCAGATACTGTACTAAACAGTTGTATGGAGCGGGTAGGTGTTCTATAGGGGAACTCTTTACCTGCTTTATGGCTGTTAGTTGTTATGCGTGCAGTTAGCTTTCTCAGTTTGCCGATCGGCAATAAAAAGCTGAAGAAGAAAAAAAAAGAAGACATTTTTCTGTTGGCATCATGGCGGAGCCTGCAAGTAAAAGTAAGAGAGTAACATGTTTAGAGGTGAAGCAAATGGCTAAAACCAGAGTGAACTTCGGCACGGCCTATGCCAGTTTGAAGGAGCTAAAGGAGGCCACAAAATTATGGACTGATGGTGACCTGGCTTTGTTGCTACTGGACTTGTAAGTAATAATATCTTTTAGCCAACAGCGTGGGCTTTTTCACCTTGTGGCTTATTTTACTTTTAGTCAGCCTATGTTAGCGTTATCTAGCTGTTAGCGCTAGCTATAGCAGGCTGCTGCAGATTTTGTTTTATGATAGCTGTAATTCCACTTTTAACCAGCAAGGCAGAGAAGCTTTTTGGAGAAAGTGGAAACTCCATTATTTTACAGAATATGCTGCTCACTATAGTGGCAAACACAGATGGCACTTTATTTTCAAGAAATAGAAAACCTAAATGCAGAAAACATTTTTAGTAACTAATCTCACACTGAAACCTCACATTTTTAGTGCTTTTATTAGAAAGAATATATCTTAACACACTTTTGAAAAAAGGAAATTGTAAATAAGGAAAAAGCATTTGCATCCTTTCCTTCAACTTCTACCGCACACCTGTACGAGTGGTTGTGTATTTGTGTGATGTGTGTGTGAGTAGGGCTCCGCATTAACCCCCTCCCCATCATCCCCACCGGCGACCCTCTCTGACCACCACACAGCCATCAGTCCTTCGCTCACTTCTGCCGAGGACAGCCCCCCTTTTGAAGGCTAGTAATTAACGTGCCATCTGATACACCATCCGGCCATAGAGGCTCTCTCGGGGAGGGGGTATAGACACATTGCACACACACACACACACACACACACACACACACACACACACACACACACACACACACACACACACACACACACACACACACACACACACACCACTGCACACACTCGTGGAAGCTTACATGCACAGGTAATCCATCACACAGCGTTAACTGGCCAAGTGTTGCTGTCAGCTGTGTGTTATGTATGATTGTGACCCTAAGGTGCGCCCAACGAGACCATCGTGCTGTGATTATAAGCCCCACTCCTCTCATCTGAATGCATCATTTCTTAAAATTCCACACCTAAAATAATTAATACTTATTTGGTTTAAATATTAGCTTAGAATCGATTAAGTACGCACAATCGGTGTTAATTTTTAAATATTAGTAATAATAATTATTATTATGGCTTGTCAGCGGCTGTTAAAGGTGCAGTATGTAAGAGTATAGGTAATTTTACAGTGAGAAAATCCCAAAAGAGTCTAATGTTTCAGTCATTTGACTGTGGGGATTATCAGGTTTTGTCCTTTCAAAACAAAAGGGACATAAAGTGGTTGCAGCAACCAAATGTTATCGTTTTTACTTCATTTCTACATAATGCACCTTTAACTTAGAGATACATGTTTTAAATTCACAGCGTCTTTTTAGTATTAATCCACCCAAAGCTGGTATTTGAAGAAAAAAATATTAGAACAGACTTGAAAGTTTTGAACACTTAAGTTGATTTTTTATTGACTTTTTTTAAATAATAAAAAATAACCCGAGGACTATTTTGAACAGATTTATAAAAAATGTTTTTTCCTCGTGATTTAAAAAAAATGAAGTTTTCTGTTACAAAACCCAACCTCTAAAAATTTAAAGTGAATTTAAATGAATGATTTATGACACGTTTTATTATATTACTGCTAAAAATCTTTTATTTTGTCCACCTGTGCAAAAAAACTGTCCTTAGAAGTTAAAAACAAGCAACAATCTCCATTTTTTCCCCCCTTCTACTGAGATTATTAAATTTTTTATGGCGTCACGTTCTACACGGTCGCCGTGAAATCCTTTGATTTTGGATGTGGTCAGGAAAAGTTCAAGCCTCTTAGAGAAAGAGCGTGGATTTCGGGGATTCGGTTGCTTCGTCTCGGCAGCCGAAGACCATTTTCCACGCAAGGTTAAAGGTGATGCAGGGGATGTCAAAATAAGACAGATGATGTGAAAATATATCCCACCTGACATTTATTCGGGCTTGTAAAAACATTCAGTACCGGTCGATGGTTTCAATAAAGAGAAATGTTTTCGTCACATCATTCAAATTTTCATGTTTTTATTCAATAGGAACAAAAAAGTTCTTCTTTGCTGTTGTTGTCGCGGTCACTGGCTCATTTTTCTTTAGCTTTTTTTTTTCAAAAATACGCTTTTTTGATGCAGACATCATTGCCATAGGCAACAAAAAAAGAGGACACCAGAACAAGAGGATGAATGTGAAAAAACGTCTAATCCATAGTTGCAGGTGTGTACACTTTTGTTGCCCCTCCAGAAGTTCACAACAGACTCGATGACAAAAGCTTGGGCCCCGTGTAGCCCATTGTGGCCCTGGAGAACAATATGGAGGCTGTGAATGGCTAATCCCTCTGGACTGCTGACAGGTCGGGCCTTTAAGCAAACTGGGGGGGGGGACTCATTTCTCTACTGGGCAGGGCCGCTGTCTGACAGGGATGGGAAAACCCGGTTTTTGCTCACCGAGCCTTCGCCCAGAGCAGATACTGGGGGTCATTGTGAAGGAAAATATCATCTCCCATTGTCAGCTTGTGGTCGTATTTGTAACATCAGAAGACGAACTTGCGGGGGGGAGAATACGCCACCGGAGGGCAAATGGACCAGTGATGGAAGCAGCTTGGTCTTTGTGATGGTTTTTCAGCCTGGTTAAGATGGTTTAGGCCCTGGAACCATGTCTCAAAGCAGTTCTTCTGACCTCATTAGGGTTACACACAAGAAGATCAGCAGCAGAAACAGAACAACTCGGAAAATCTTATCAGCGACTGCAGTCTGTTGTCTTCTGAAGCGACTGGTTGCATGAGCACACCTGAGGCAATAAAAGAAGACGAGCAAATATCTTTGTGAGCGAGACAGAAAAGGTCATTGTTAGATAATCAGCCAGAAGCTCATAAACAAGACCTAGGGAGTACATGACACCCTGAGAGAAAATATCTGTTTCTTCTTGGATCTCACTGGGAGCAGATCTGGAACTGGGACACCACCCAAGCAGCTCAAGACCGATTATCACTTCACGTTCTAGTCAGACAATAGAGAAGGAGGCAAAGCAAAGGCCCTGTGGGTGTCTGTGGATATCGTTTTGTTGAGACACTCTCCTAACCAACCCATTCTCTTCTACTCTTTTTCTAGTTTGGTTCAGAAAGTCCAGCTCAGCTTCAGAGGGCACCAACCCAACATACATGGCTGATTTACCTGGCCTTTCCATCAGACACCGTCACATATCGTTCATAGGCTGTGTCTCAATTCAGGGTCTGCATCCTTCGAAGGACCCAGCCCACTCGGCCGACGTGGGCTGCGTCCTCCGTCGGCCGGGTAGACCGGATGTTAACGGCTGTGAATTTGGACAGGCCTAGCCTTCATGAACTCCCTCGGCGAACGTTCCGTCGCCTAGCAACCGTGGAACCGCTGGGCAGAAGGAACCTTAAACGATGGAGCTCGACGTTTTATTTAGCTTTTTAACCCCCAGAAACCCAAATTTAGAAAACTGCAAAATATTTTTAACCTTTCACATGTTGTTCTAGGAGGCCAGATAAACGGGCCTATTTACACATTTTAACAGCCAATAGTGTTGCAGAACTGAATAGGACCTATTAGCAATGTAAATGTGGTTTTAAAAAGAAAAAAAATGGGGAAGGTTTATTTTTGTAGACTTAAATCTGATGTTGTGATACTACAACCGTGGGTCTCTGGGGGTTAATCATTTCCTTGACTGTTGGAGAGCTAATTCAGAGAAAATACTTTAGACTAGCTGAGCCTGAGCAAAGATGTGATAATAGTTTTTAATACTTTCTAAGGGTCTTAATTTGACCAAAACCGATTTATCACCTTTTAAGACTTTTCAAGACCCAGCGGATACCCTCTAGTAAACAATTCTCATTTGTAAACAAAAATAAAATTCAGGAGTTTAATGCAGAACTGATTTTATTTAGATATTTCTTTTATATGTACATGTTTAATCTTCATTAACCATTTTTTTCTAGCAAAGTAAAAAGCTGTCAAAGTTCTTCCTTCTCTCCTGTGCTCTCTGCTGCTCTGCAGCCTCATGTCCTCCCAGATCAGCTCCAGAAGCTCATCGCTGGCACCTTCCCCTGGATGCCCATTTTCTCCAGAATAGTCTTAACAAACATGTAAGAAAAGAAACAGGAAGAGAAAAGAGGACAACGGGTTATTCCTTTCATGTTTTCGCAGAAAAAAATATACTCAAACGAGTTTTTAAAATATGAGATGTTATTGTACCTCCATGCCACAGCCGCCGAATACTTTGCTCCGGTGATCATGTGGTCCATCTCCGCCCTAAGCTTAATAAATTCCCTGGTTTTCTCTTTTGGTCCTAAAATACAAACTTCTATTAAAATCAGGGGGAAACGTAGTGGGAGAAGTACGACACCGAGCGCGGCCGAACATACGAGCCGAGACCGCAATACAAGCACTTTTACTGTAACATTTCTAACTAAAATAACGTTCATGTATCACAAAAAGTCCTTAAACTGACAGTTTTCAAGTTTATACTTACATTTATATGCGCAATCCTCTCCGACAGCTCCCGCTTCACTGTCCGCCATTGTTTTTAAGTTTTTCTGCCGGCCGGCCCGCAAGGCATCTTGGGAAATGCTACCTATTGAAGGATACACCCGACCCATCCTTCATTCAGGCGAAAAGAAGGCCGCATTCGTCGACCGCATTTGAAGGAGTCTTCGAATTGGGACAGGCCGAGTCGCGGCGCTGTGACGTAACCGGCCGACGAATCCGGCCGAGGTAGGATGCAGACCCTGAATTGAGACACAGCCATAGTGTGCAGGAATTAGCCAGCTGTGCAGAGTGTACCACTGCCCACTAGGGGGCAGTGTGGGGGAACCCTTCATAAATGGATTTCATCTGTGGCCACAGCGTCTTTCATTACCTTCATGCTGCAATGCGTTGATTTCACTGTTCACTTGTATCTGTAAGTCTGAACACCTGTTGTACACATTTATTAAGCTGTTGCTGTAATGTTAAATGGTGTTAGTCTGCATGCTAAGTCACGCCGCATCATGCTATGTCTGATGGCCCATGTGGTTGTTGCATGCTGTTGTTAGCCTTAGCTCATGTAGCTTTACATGTCGCTGCAGGGCTCCTTCATCGTTGTCAATAAAGCTACCATGCCATTGAGGAGTGTGTTTCTTCAACCGTTATAGCTGATGGGTGCGCTGCCACCGATCTCAAAGCATCGCATGTTGGACGCAGCCCAGAAGCGTTGCAACACGTTGCTCTGCAAAAGTTAAGATTCATGTCTATTTTTTTTTTACACGCTATGCTTCTAAAAGCATCAAGCTCAGCAATTAGGACTGGGCCAGACAGGAAGCCAAACACAAAAGCAGCGTAAAACATCCGGAAACTTTCAAAAATAGTAAAAAAATTAAAAGAATGTTATTATGAGTGACGCCTCCGTAACCAAGGTCCAAAGAACAGGAAATTAAACACAGAACTTTGTGGATACATGCTGCCGCCTTTTCCTTCCTTTTATCATTTGAACTGCTGGAATCACATGGGATATTGCAATTGTCCGGTCATTTCGTGGATCAGCTGCGTGGACTAGCTGCGTGGATTAGCTGCGTGGATTAGCTGCATGGACTAGCTGCGTGGATTAGCTGCATGGATTAGCTGCATGGACTAGCTGTGTGGATTAGCTGCATGGACTAGCTGCGTCGATTAGCTGCGTGGGTTAGCTGCGTGGACTAGCTGTGTGGAATAGCTGTGTGGATTAGCTGCGTGGATTAGCTGCGTGGACTAGCTGCATGGATTAGCTGCGTGGGTTAGCTGCCTGGATTAGCAGCGTGGACTAGCTGCGTGGATTTGCTGCATGGACTAGCTGCGTGGACTAGCTGCGTGGACTAGCTGTGTGGAATAGCTGTGTGGATTAGCTGCGTGGATTAGCTGCGTGGATTAGCTGCGTGGACTAGCTGTGTGGACTAGCTGTGTGGAATAGCTGTGTGGATTAGCTGCGTGGATTAGCTGCGTGGATTAGCTGCGTGGACTAGCTGCATGGATTAGCTGCGTGGGTTAGCTGCCTGGATTAGCTGCGTGGACTAGCTGCGTGGATTTGCTGCATGGACTAGCTGCGTGGACTAGCTGTGTGGACTAGCTGCGTGGAACGCTTTCACTGCAGTTTCGCATCTGAAACGCTTCCAGTGGGAAGGAACCTCGCAGGTGAAACCTGTTTGTTGTTTTACACACCACTGACACACCCAGTGGAAAGCTATGGCTAAATCTTTACAAAGGTGTCACCATCTAGAATCATGGATTCAGCCAAAAAATGGTTCACCCTTTTTCCTTCAGGCAGAAGACTGAAGAACTGCTTCTATGAAGCTGCGAGGCTCAAAAACTTTCTTCAACGTTTTCTTCCCTATATTTCAGATGTTTATTAATATTTGAAGGCTAACAGCTCATGCATTAAACTCAAAGAAGAGATTTGCATAATGCACCAAAGCCACTCCTTAGATCTGACACAAATACTAATTTTACAAATATGAAGTATCCATAAAGACCACTGCTGGTCCAGGCCTGACTCTGGATCTGGGGTTTTTTAACCAGTGGTGGTTCAGCGGTCGAAACTTTTAAACCAGGAAAGGATGTGTTTTCTTAACAAAGCCTGAACACAGAAGAGGTTTTAATGTCTGAACAGGGAATTTTCTGCACATCAGGAACATATGACAGAAGTTGCTTGGGATTTAAATATTTCTCTTCGTATTTGTGCTATTGAGTGATCGGAGATTAAATAACGGCGAAAATCCTTTTTGAAAAGCTCAAAGCTCTTGGACGATTCCCTGCCACTTTTGAGACCTGTTGAGTTTTTCAGGCGGCTGCAAAAGCAGCCTCACTGAACCGCTGATGTTGTATTTGGACCTGCTGTTCCTTCCTGTTCATGGAACTTCTCCTACAATAAAAAAGCATGTTGAGGCATGAAAACAATCAGTCTGGAAAAATTAGTTTAAACAAACTTGATTTAAAACGTTTTTCCTAAAATTCAAGTATGATTACTTGATTATTATTATTATTATTATTATTATTATTCTGAGCTGCTACAGCATTCATTTTCCCTCTGGGATTAATGAAGTATTTTTTAATTGAATTGTATATTTATTTCCACATAGATTAATATGTGTTTTAAAGCAGCTTCTAACCTCTGAGTTTATAACAGCTGAAGGAAACCTGATGGACTTCAGGTTTGTTCACTAAAGTGAGTAAACACTGACCTCTGCTGGACATTAATGGTAAAAACCTTTTAAAGCTAGTCAGCTCATCTTTAATGGAACTAAATAACTTTTTAAAACCTGCTTAGGGTTTCATAGAGAAAAACATCATTACTTTATTATTATTACTTTAATTAAAATTGTTATCAGGCCTTACTATTCTGAAATGTCTGTCCTCTTAAGTGTTGTTAAAACAGTTTCATTATTATATGAGGGATATCTGAGTTATTTTTTAGTTAAGAAACAAATATATGTTTATAAGAGGCATTTGGTCCCAAATCCATAGTGTTAGATGTCCATTAAATTACAATGAAATAACTATTGTTAATTATTAGAACTGTTATTTTTTCAATGGTGTGTCCCCCTCCACCTTCCAGTGTGCAAGCATTTATAATCTTAAGCTATTGTTCAACATTTATTGTGCTTAAAGGTATATTTAAAACTACTCGTGCATCAAAATGTTACTTCCTTCAGGGTTCAGACGTGTATCTAAAATTTGAGGCTCAATAAAAGAACTTTTCAACAATAAAGCTGAAGATGCAAACTAAACTTAAGTCAAAGATGAGGAGACTAGTGTATGTTTGATTTTTCAACGGTTTTGCATCATTCTCTTGTTCTGAGCTGAATGGATTTACAAGATTCTGTTTTGCCTCATTAATGAAGAAGAAAACAACACAAATGAGTCCATTTTAAACGTTATTTAGGCGACACTGTAGGGGCCTCAGTAACGTGTGGGCCATTCATCTGCAGTTTGGCTCCTCTAGTTTTGCTCATGCTGGTTACCAGTCTGGCCACACCTCCTTAGGAATAGCATCCCAAGTTTTTGACGGTCATCCATCATGATGGAGTTGGTCACTCCAGCACTTAACAGGCCAGGGCTGTCTAAGAGCTGTCAATCAGAAGCAAACCAGGTGTGAGTCATGCATGTTTGTCCGGAACACACCTGACATCACTTCAAGCTTAAAACAAGTGTTTTAGTTTGCGGCAAAGGTGCGTCCGCCCTTCTGACGACCACCAGCAGACAACAGTACGATTTGAAAAGAGCTGGAATTGAAACACTGACACTCAGCTGGAAGTATGACTTTTATCTCATTCTTGGAAACCGTCATAACCATCCAGCAATTTCTTATTTTTCAGTGGTTTTACAAAAAGTTTTAAAGGAGACATATTATGCCAAACTCACGTTGTTCATCATGCTGCCATGTGATCTCCACTGCTTCTATTAACTCTCCAAATGTGAAAAGAAACCTACCCATCCGTTTTCTGTCTGATTTTAGGAATTTGTGTTGTTTTCAAGGACAGAAGTTCGAATTTGCACAAGAAACCAATTTATTTATTTCTGGTTGAGCTTTTGTGAGATTAACATCTCCTGAAATGTTCTTTGAAGGTTGGTTCATGCTAACCTTGCTGTGGTTTGTAGCTTTACAGCTATTATTCTCCTCCTCGCCACTAGATGGTGCCACCGTAACACCAGAGAGCACATTTAGAGCCTTAACACCTTAGGCTCATTTAAACTGAATAGGAAATAATTAGCTTACTTTGAATGAACCAGTTTCTTACACTGTACCTTATTATTTATAAAGCACTTTTAAAGTTACAAATTACTTAAACGGATCTTACAATTATAATAAAATAAGCCAGTAGTGGTTCAGTCATTTCCACTTTAACCCTCTGATGCATGAATTATGAGATCTTCAACCATGATTTTTTAAACAATTTTTTTCATTCATCTTTAGGTGTGAATGAAACAACTTTCAACAAATATTTTTTGTAACATTTTGTTAATTTCCAAATAATTTATTACATGTCCATCTCAGTGGACAGCGTGCATTCTGAAAATGAAATATGTTGGCTTGCCTTACCGAAGTCCAAATGGAGGGGCTCACATGCAATAAAGTCTTCAACAGCTGTGCTTAATAGCAAAAATAAAGAAATAACAATTTTGAGTACCTGTCCACTGTAGTGACCATTATGCATCAAAGGGTCAATTGATGGGGCCTCATTTTAAATTTGCCCAACAAATATTTACAAGTCGTTTTGCCCCTTGAGCTCCAACTGAAGAACAGAGGCTCACGGAGTGTGAGAAGGGAGCTCATTAGCTGTCCCGCTCCGACATGAGTGGCCAGTTTCTCCCAGGAGAACAGTTTAAGAGATCTGGGAAACCTACCAGAATGTCAACAGCTGCAGCTCAGCATTAACCTGATGAAAAGTTGTCCCCCCCCCCGTTCTCTTCATCTCTTTCTTCATCCAAACCGTTTTATCAGCTGGTCCCGGCAGACCTCCTCAGTCTGGATCTCCATCCATCTGTACTCACGTCGTTGTGGGTTTAACTGGATAAAAGAGCTTCTGGATGAAGAGATGGCTCTGATCCATTCTGATGATGAAGACAATGCTTGTGAGAAGACATTTTTAAATTTGGACATTTATTGGGGGAGGCTCCACCACGCCATGACCTTGAGCTTCCCGCTGAACTTCATACCATTCTTATATGAAAACCAGTCTTGCCACAGACTCAAGACCTCTTAAACACCTTCATGCATTAAGTCTTCAAGC